GGGGGCTCCCCGACCTGGGCTCCCGCTCCTTGTCCACTGCCTGTCGCACAAGTCAGTTTATTGCTTGCAGACTCTTATGTTCTGATAAATATAAGATGAGACTACTCATCCCTCTTTGAAGGACTTTTACTAAGTGTTAAAAATAGTGTAAATCCTTTAGCATTCTGCCTAAAAGTAGGTTCTCAGTAAGCGAACCTGGAGGGGGTGGAAAATGCCCCTTTCATTTTTCTTGTGACATGCCGCCGCTCTCTCTCTCTCTTCCTTCACTTTGAGACTGTTTTTATCAAGTGATACTTGGGCTTATGGTGAACAGTATGTATTGCTCTGTGCAGAGAATTCTTTTAGGTACTAAACTGCGGATGGATAAAGGACCTGGGAATACAAACCCTGTCCATGAACAGAGAGGATGCCCGAAGCCTGTGATCCCTGGAAATCTTATTTTTATTTGGTCCATATTAACACCAGTGGGCTGCCTCCGGTTTGCTCTTTTGGCTCTTTGTGGGAAGAGCCAAACAAGGAAGATGCCTGCGCCTTCCCTGCCGTGCGTGTTTTCAGTCTGTCTTCTGATGAATCGCCGGTGCGCTGAGCAGATGCTTGCTTGGTGCCCTGGGAGCCGGGCCGGAGGGCGAGGCGGCGAACAGGAGACGGGCTCGCGGGCTCGCGGCGCTCTTGGCCCAGCGGGCGGCACTCGGACAGAGGACAGGTGCTGAGCAGTGCGGCCCGGGAGCAGCGTGGCCCGGGGCAGCTTAGGAGAGAGGAAGCAGCCACAGAGGGCGGTCAGGGCGACTCCTGAGAGCCGAGTGACGACACGGAGGGTGAGTTAGGGGTGCAGAGCCTTGTGTGTTTCTGGGGCAGGGAACAAACGAGAGCGCGCAGGACACGTTTGAGTTCCTGAGAAGCAGATGAGCTGCCAAGGGACAGCAGACTCGTGAAATGGGACAGTGTAGCATTTAGCTGGCTGGCCATTCTAAGTTCTTGAGACGGACGTCACTGCAGGACAGTGCCTGCGGGAGAGGAGATTGAACAGGAGAGTCCTCAGCCCCAGCGGAAGCCTGGGACGCCGGTCTCTAGGCCGAGTGCCTGGCAGCCACGTGCCCCCTGGACTGAGGCCTGCCCGGTCCCCGGGTCTCATCTCTGGGCCATTCTAGATACCGCCTGACCACCAACCAGAGCCGGTGGCCGCCCCGTCCGTACCCCTGGAAGTGGTATTCTACCCGTTCTTCCCCAGCGCCCGCATCTCCTGACGCTGACACACTCTCGGGGCCTGAGCCTGGCTCTCCTTTCCCCGCGGTGTTGGAGCTCCAGGCTCATCGCCAGCAGCCACGGGGCCTGTTCATTTGCACCAATCTCTGCATGGACCTCCCTTAGCCCTCCCTATCCTTTGGTGTCTCCCTCCACC